GCTTTGGTAGAGGGGAACTCCTAACTCACCTCCCTCATCGTTAGGCAAAAGGAAAAATCCGGGATGAATTATTTCTATGGTACACGTGCCCTCTAGTTTGCTGGAGCTGGGTGTAAGCCTTTCTTTCACATATCCAGAACAATTCAACTGAAGCTTTCCATGTATCTGGGTCACTGGAAATGAGGTTAGTCCAATGATAGGTATACTGTAAAACAGGTTAGTTTCTTCAGGGGAAGACAGGGCACTTGATTATGGTCTTGTCCAAGACAGACTTAAAACATTGGGAAGGTTTCACAGGAGGGGGCCCAATACCAAGAGGGTGGCTCTGGCCACCACCAGACCAGGCGTGCAAAATTCCAGGACAACATTCTTTTGCAAGAAGAGTCTCCCACCCATTGGGTAAAGGCTTGCCCAGCCCCACTGATACCTTTTTTTCCAATTATCTCTGAGGTAAGAACCCAACCCTGTGGCCGATTATTTTCTATGGCAGCTATGGAGTGATTCCACTGGAGGAGTTGGTAAGCATTTAACCTGGTTTCTTTCCAGGGCCACTTTTAGTCATAAGTGCTCCCCCACACACCCAGCATTTGGTGACATTAAATTCATGGGCGATTTGTTCAGCCAGGTCTATGAAGAGGTTTTTTTTCCTATGGCGGGAAGTTCTAGGTTAGAACCTTGATTCTCTTGTAATTGGCTGTACATGAAGGGTGGGGACAGCTTTGGCTTTGGCTGTGCCATTTTCTGTACAGTTCCTTGACCAGTAGGGTTTGGGCATGGTTTTGAGTACCTCCTGGCCCATAGTAATCCCAACAGGTCCAACCTCCACCTTGGTCATTACCTGGTAGATTACAGGTATGTATGTCCACATGCCTGGCTTTTAACCATCCGGTCCAATATAACTTGCCTTCGCAGGAACATAGAGAGACACTGACAATACGAACTTTAGGCTAGTCTGAAAAGTGAGTAAAGACTGGGTACCAGCTGTGCCATCCCCATGTTCCTTTTTGTAAAGTGTGGACACACAATTGTCACAAGGTGGGTTGTTGGCTGAGTTTGTGAAAGAGGCCCAAATTAAAATCAACCAATAATCACGAAACATCCTATCCATAGAAGGACGAAAAGAGCTAGCAAAAACCTTTCGCCACTGGTCCAATCTGCCGGAGCGGCTTCTGTTAACCCTATGGTGAAGACTAGGGCAAAAGTTGTGGCTGTAGACGGAGGCAAGGAGTGGCAGTGCATTAAGGGTCTGCTTTAGAGAGAGACAATAATAAAGAACAACTTATCTGAGTTCTGGCTGCTGTTTCCTCAAGCTTCCACCGTGCATTGGTCCGTCAGCCTCCAGTGTAGCTGAAACAAGGCCGCAGACTCCTCAAGCTTCAGCCGTGCGTTTAGTCAGCTTCCGGATGCCTAGAGCAGGGCTGCAGACCTTTTCCAGGCTTTGGAGCGTGGCGTCTTCTCCCTTTCTCTGGATGGTCAGTTTGTGCAGGTCTGAAGGGTCAGTCACACACTCCCAAGTTTGGATGGCTGGTTTAACTCTGCTGTAGTGGATCCAGGGGATCGCTTCAGCAACCTTTACTGCAGTTGGGGTAGACAAGAGGACAGTAAATGGGCCCCCCCAAAGGATTTTAGAGGCCGCACATTTCGTTTCTTTACCCATACCATGTCTCCGAGGTCAAAGGGGTGTGCGTCTGTGGTTAAACTTATTGGCAACCTTTCTCTGACTTGGTGATGTAAAGTGTTTAAGGCCGCACCTAAAGCCTGCAGTTGCTGTCTTAGGGTAATGTTTTCTATCTCTTTTAAGTCCCCCTGTACTTTTTTGACAAGAGGGGGGTGGCCTCCCATGAAGGATTTCAAAAGTAGAAAAACCTGTTTGCTTAGTAGGGCTAGACCTAATCCTTAACAAGACTATTGGCAACAGCTGGTCCCAGCCTCAGTGAGTTTCTTGGCATAGCTTACTGAGCTATAATTTTAATGTTCGATTCATTTGCCCTACTTTTCCCGAACTTTGGGGCCAGTAGGCAGTATGTAATTTCCAGGTAATTTTTAGCCGTTTTGCCAGCAACTGTATTATTTCTGCCACGTACACGGGCCCATTGTCTGACCCGATAGTGACAGGGATTCCAAACTGGCGGATGATTTCCTTTAAGAGAAGACAGGCCACTTCAGATGCTTTTTCTGCACGGGTGGGGAAGGCTTTTACCCACCCTGAGAAATTGCATACAAAAACTAGGAGATATTTGTAGCCACGGACTTGGGGGAGCTCGGTGAAATCCACAACTATGTTTTCAAATGGTGCCCTTCTGACATGCTGTATGCCAGGGAAGACTCATGGGTTGTTTTGAGCACAGGTTTGGCAATACTCACAGACAGCTCGGGCAATACTGGAGCCAGGGGACATAAAAGTCTTGGTTTAGTGTGGTCTCGAAGGCCGTTCGTCCACTGTGGGTCCCATGGTGGAATTCTCCAACAAAAACTGGAGCCAGTGACTCAGGAACTGCCACTTGGCTGTCTTGAAATTTCCACCATCTGCTTTGGAGATAAATTCTACTTTCAGTTTCAAACCAAGCTTTTTCGTGCTGCGAGTAGCTGGGGCTCCAGTTTGTCAGTGGGCTAGGGAGAAGTGCGTTGGTAGGATGGCTGACTCGCTGACTTTTTTTAGATGCTGTGAGTTTTGCTTCTTGGTCTGCTTTACGATTTCCTCGGGCAATGATTGCATCTCCCTTTGGGGCTCCGGACAATGCATGGCCGCTACTTTCTTAGGGGTCCACACAACATCCAGGAGCTTGAGGATTTCTGTGCCATATTTTATATCCTTTCCCCCTGAATTTATTACCCTTTTGCTTTATATAAGGTCCATGCACATGCAGAGTGGTGAAAGCATATTTGGAGTCAGTGTAGATGTTGACTTGCATTCCAGTGGCCAGCTGGAGGGCTTGAGTTAAGGCAATAAACTCTGCCTTTTGGACTGAAGTTCCTTTTGCTAGAGGTTTAGCCTCTACAGTGAAGACCAGGGTTACTACTGAATAACTGGCAAACCATTCCCCGTCTTTTATGAAACTGCTGTCGTCAGTCAAGTATTCAGCTTCAGGGTCTTTGAGGGCCTAGTCTGTTAGGTCTGGACGGCCGGAAAGCACTTCATCCTTAACTTCAATATAGTCATGGTCTGGCTGTCCAGAGTTGCTGGATTTAAAGTTTTGACCAGCTCTAAGCAGATGCGTGGGTTTTCACATAGCATCCCTTGATATTTGATCATTCTGGCATTGGTTAACCAGTACTGACCCTTGCATTCCATTAAGGTTAATAGCGCGTGTGGCACTCAGACCGTCAGGTCTTGTCCCACAGTCAGCTTGTCGGCTTCTGCCACCAGAAGGGCAGTGGCGGCGAGTGCTCTCAGACAAGATGGCCAATCTTGAGCAACTGGGTCCAGCTGTTTTGACAGATATGCTATGGGCCTATGCCATGATCCTAATACCTGAGTTAGGACCCCCGTTGCTATGCCAGGGCACTTGTGCACATCTAAAAAGAGGGACTTGGTTACGTTTGGGAGCTTTAAGCCAGGCGTGTTGATGAAAGCCTGCTTAATTTCTTCAAAGGCCTTTTGTTGGGCTTGTTCCTAAAGCAGGGGCTCCTGTTCTCCCCGCTTTGTGGCTTCATAAAGGGATTTTGCTAAAATAGAGACGTTAGGTATCCAGATTCCGAAGAATCCTGTGGCTCTGAGAAATTCCTGGACTTGATGTCAGGAGGATGAGACTGGGATTGAGCAGATGGTTTGTTTTCTTTCTGGGCCAAGCTGGCATTGCCCTTGAGATAGGGGGAAGCTGAGATACCCAACCTTCTCTTGGCGGATGTGGGCCTTTTTTTTTTGAGACCTGGTATCCGGCCTTTCATAAGTGGGTGAGGAGCTGGTGCGCCCCCTTCTATTTCGTTAGCCAGAACAAGCTTGTTTGGTTCAGGCAGGCACGTGGAAGGAGACAACTTAAGTGCCATCAGAGTTTCGCATTTTTTGTCCAGGAAGCTTTTAGCCAAGGTGGATGCACAAGGACTGCATCTCACCAACAGCCAATGGATGGGAACTGATCAGGGTGGCCAGGACCTGGGTCTCCTACAGCAATTCTAAACACCTTAGCAAGTACCATTTTATCTAATGGCCCTTCTGTGGGCCATCCCACCCCAAAAGAAGGCCAATCTACTTCACAAACTGTTTGGAGCTTTCTCCAAGTCAGTTTTACATCATAGTCTCCTGAGCTCCCTTGCCGAAAATGCTTCAACATACGTTCAAGGGGGGTGTTTTTATTTTGTGTTTCACCCATCTTTCTCCCCCTAAAAGACACCAGTCACACACAAAAAGAGGAAAAAGGGGTAAGGGGAATGATTGCTTCATCCGTCTCCAGCCGTACTCCTTGCGGAGATATTTCGGACACCTCTTAGCAATTGCCAGGTTGGTATAAACCCCCAACCTGGACCAGCCCTATTACGGGGCTGGGGCAGCCCTCAGCTGTATGAGATCATCACTGGCTTAGATCAGGACTCAATACTCGTTTTGGCCCACTAGTCAGGTCAGAACACTTCCACCGTCCATCTCATTCACACACAATCATACAACAACTCCAATCCTCCACCCAGTACCTTGGAGTCTATGGTTTCGTCTCAGGACAGTGTTTCCTTCCACTGCCTCTATCCCTTTCCTTCAGGTTTGAGACTACTAGTGGACTCCAGGAGGTGGTCAGGCTGCCCTTCTGCCTTTTAAGAACGGGTCTATTTCATGTAACCCCAGTACCTCCCTTCCCATTGGGTGTTGCTCCACATGCTGGTTCCTGTGCCTCACCAGGTTCCATTGTGCTTTTGAGATCCTTCCCCTGAGTTGCTGGGAGGGCTTCTCCCCTATAGATCAATTGGTCTGTTGGTGCCAGATGAAGTTGTCTCTCCTGTCGCCCCGGGAGTTGTATCCTGGTGACAAGGGAGGTGGAAAGACACCATCTCCGAACTCTCTGCTTTCCCGGCCAGTGCACCAAGAAATGTTATGGGAAAACAAATCAGAGAGACCCTGACACCGAGGCTGGTAAGTAAGAAGCTGCATTTATTACCGGAACGCAGTTGAGTCTCAGCTTATAGAGGTTTTACATTGGCTTTGGGGGAAGGGGCTTTTCGTGACAGAATGACAGCAGAACAAAAAGAGAAACTTGCGGTTGTAGGTTTCAGCTGTGAGCGCTGAGCTTAATGCAACATGCTGTGCTGGGACCCACAGGAAAGGGCTTGCAGCTATTACCTGCAAGGACCAACAGGTGTGAGGCATGGCGTCCTACATTTGCAAACTAGGTCGCTTTGATTATGTTTGAAGCATTTTCTACAATCCCCTATTAATTTTTAGCATGCTCTAAAAGCCCCCTATCATAACCTCTTTCTTTGTCTTATAACCAAATGCATCCACATTCTGAAAGCTGGTGTTTGAGCATTCAACATGTGAATTTTAGGGTGATAAAAGCAATAGGGAACATTTTTAAATGAATTATGTCAGAAATATTCCTCCTCACTTATAATTCATTTTGATAATATACACACAAAGTTTAACATCTTAACCCATTTAAATTCAGTGGTGTGAAGTCATTGATATTTTTGTGGAGACCGGGCTTGGTGGCTCAGCCTGCCATCCCACCACTTTGGGAGGCTGAGGCAAGAGGCTTGTCTGAGCCCATAGGTTTGATACCCGCCCAGGCAACCTGGTGAGGCCTTGTCTCTACAATAAATCAAAAATTAGCCGGGCATGGTAGCGGGTGCCTGTAGTTCTGCCTACTTGGAAGGCCAAGGTAGAAGGGTCACTGGAGCCTGGCAGGACAAGGCTTCAGTGGCATGAGCAGGCCACTGCACTCCAGCCTAGGCCACACAGTGAGACTCCAACTAAAAAAAAAACAAAAAACAAAAAAACCTCTTAATTTCTTTTTTTTTTTGAGTTGGAGTCTCACTCTGTCGCCCAGACTGGAGTGCAATAGCTGCTCCCGGTCACCGCAGCCTCGCCTACTGGTGGCTCCGGCGATCCTTCCGCCTCAGCCTTCCGAGTAGCCGGAATTACAGGCGCGCGCTACCACGCCCAGCTAATTTTTTGATTTATTGTAGAGATGAGGTCTTGCTGCTCAGGCAGGTCTCGAACCCGCGGGCTCAGGCAATCCACTCACCTCAGCCTCCCAAAGGCACGGGATTACAGGCTGAGCCACCGAGCCCGGCAAAACCCCTTAATTTCTAAGGGTATCTGCATAATGAACATTTGTATATCTAACCCTGAATTGTATCCTACACCTTTAAAATAAAAAAATTAACAGTGAAAATAAATAAATAAAATCTGTATAAAAAATAATAATGACTTGAAACCCCCTCCCCCAAAATTTTGTGTGTGTCTGCTATTCATCTCCAGAACACTTCCTCTTGCAAAACGGAAACTCTCTACTCATTAAAAATGTATTCATCGTTTTCTACCATATATGGCTCTCTCCTGTATCTCCCAAACCTAGGTTGTTTCTTAGTACATAGGACGCACTGAAGAGTATTTGTGAATCAATAAGGAACTGAATGACTCTTCCTAATTTTCCATCCAGATGACCTTTTTTTTTTTCTTTGCTCTCCGATTTTATGTTGGAGTTACAGTTTTTCAGTTGTCTGGAAAATCCAATCAAATTGAACAGGGTGTGTGTCCAGAACCAAGTTGTGATTGGGCTCACTATAAGTCTAATCAGGGTGTGTCCCTGGAATGCAGCCCTGATTAGGTTCATTCACTGTTTTCCTATATAAAGGGAGGTCAAAGAGAGGATGCGTTTGCCCTAAGAAGAAGAAACTGAATCGTGCAAAACTCTGGGAGAAGAGCAATTCACCGCTTGCCTGTGGAACCTTTCTCAGAACATAGCTGGCGTGACTACCTCCTCCAACTTTGGGTTTCTGGTGAGTTCTCTGAACAATTAGCTGCGAACTGGCCTTATTTAGTCACAACGATACAAGTCCTGTTTATCTTCAGACATCTGTCATATGAGAGCAGAAGCTTATGATCCTTTTATTTTATTGTATGAATGGTTACTTCACTGCTCTCATTTTCTATTTTGACTATTTTTTGTGCCTTTTCTATTTTTGTTTTGAATTTGTTTCAGTATTTTAAACGTTTGCTCCATGATTCCAGATCTCTGCTATTCAATACAGTAACCACTGGTCACACATGGCAGTAAATTTCAAATTAAGATTATAAAACTGCAGAGTAGCACTTGCCAAATTTCAAGTAATCTGTAGCTACTGCATTGGGCAATGCAGAGATTGAGCATTTATTCTCAAAGAAAATTGTCCCAGGTATGTTGATTTATAGCTTATGTTTTTTATTCTATTTTTGGATGATAACTATTCTCAACTACTCTGTATTAATTTCATATTGCATGTTTTTTAATTTCTTGTTGAAATAGGTGCCTATATAGTTTATTTAAATTCTTTAAAAAATACTACGAGGAAGACAATTTCCTGTGACTCTTGTCTGCATTGCTTTATTGGTACTTTACCATAATATATTCTGGTATTATTATTTTTATAATGTACTTTAAAACTTGTGTCCAGATAATTTAAGAGAGTTTCCCCTTTTATTCCTAGTTAGAAGATTGAGTCTTCTATGGTTGGTTATTTTCAATGTTTTTCACGTTTTTACTTATAAGACACATGTATTTCCTTTTTTATATTAGAAAATATGGTTTATTTCAAAACTAAATTAGAAAGAGAGAGATTCCCCCCCAAGGTAGGGGAGAGGGCCAAAGCTTAAGAAAACATGGCCTGACCATAGCTCAAAGAGCACATGGCCACACCATAGCTTAGCAAGGCAATGGTCAAGATATATGTATTTCTATTTTATTTATTAGCTACCACAGTCTTTTAAAAATTTTGACCCTGAGGGAAGAGAAAAGTCCTGTGCCTATTTCTTTTTGATGGCACTGCATGTTTCTGTTAGTTAGGCTGATTGATCTCACTCAAGTGAAAGTCTGGGGCTTCATGAGGGCTGAGTATAAAACTTGTTCACAATACTGGAGTCTCGTAACTTTTTTCTCCAGCCTGCTTAGAACTTGAACTGTCTGTGAGTGGAAACCCAGAAAACAGTAGGAAAAGGAGTTGATGGCAATGAATCCACTGGTGAGTAGGAAATGCCTCTTGCTACTGAGATTACATGACTAGTGCCAGTAGATGAACTGGCTTCTCCTATTTAATGTCAGTGTTCTAAGTAGAACTGGGGGTTTTCAGGAATCTAAGCCCCAACTAGTGTTTCCCAAGATTCTGGGGTAGTTATCATGAGTCAAGAACTCATCAATAATTAATACCTTTCCTAATACTCTGCTAATTTTCAGTCTCTTTTATGGTTCTGTGTTTACAGAAGACATGAGTTGTAGTTTTTTTCCCTTTTCTCCTTTTCTTTTTGTCTTTTTTTAAAACAGGGCCTCAATCTGTCACCCAGGCTGGAGTAGAGTGGCATGATTTCAGTTCACCAGAGCCTCCACCTCCTGGGCTCACGGAATCCTTCTGCCTCAGCCTCCAGAGTAGCTGGGACTGCAGTGTGTGCCACCACACCTGACTTTTTGTTGTTGTTGTTGAGAAATGAGGTCTTACTATATTGCCCAGATTGGTCTCCAACTCCTGGGCTCAGGCGATTCTGCCTCAACCTTTGAATGTGCTGGTAGTACAAGCGTGAGCCACCATGCCTAGCTGACAGAAGATAAATTTTGGGTGTATGTTTTATCACCCATTCCGTGAACTCACTGGAAAATTACTTACCCTTTGACCATGACATAGGCTGTAAGAGGCTTAGAATTGCGGTAGAGGCAGATGATAGAGATGAGTGGCAAACAGAACAGTAGAGTTTGACAGGGAAGCAGATGTTTCCCCAGGTGAATTCACTCAATATCCTGTTATAGGACCTGGATGAGGTCTGTACAGCATTGGAGTAAAACAAGAGACATTTAGGCTAGATAAGGTGTGAGAATTATTCATTTATTTTTGTTCAATCTTGGACATCTTTTTTTTATTTTAAAGATGTGGTGTACAATTCAGGGTTAGGTAATCTTGGACATCATAAAATGTTATAGTGGTATTTGAACTTTTGAAAATTACCAAAAAAAAAAAAAGAAAGAAAATCTGAAATGGTCATTATCATGCTTTTTCCCAATCGCTTTCTTTACCTTTTAGAAATTAACTTTAAAATATTTGATAACTGGAATTAATATATAGGGAATATAATTAATTTAATTGTGGCTGCACATTCCAGAGAGAATTCTGGAATACCTATATGTTGGTAGGCAGAGTAAAATGTAAGGCACTGGAATTTTTGAAGAATGAAATAGACTCAAATCAAAAAGTGTTATGCTTCAGTTACTTAAAATTAACGGGGAAAGAGTTTTAGTTGTAAATTTTTCTTTATTTTCTTTCTTTCTATTTTTTTCAGAAAGCAGGATTTATTGAGAGGACAGAAAAGCTCGCACAGTGGGAGGAGACCCGAGGGGGTTGCCCTGTAAATTTTCAGGTGCAAATTATACAATCACCTTGTCTAAGTCATATTTAGCAGTTTATAGGCATGTTTCTATGTTATATTATACCACATCTCATATGATATTTATAATAAGATAGTATAAATCCGTAGTGGGTATGTCTCTGTGAGTGATTCTGAAAGGTAGATGCCAGCTCAGCACTGCGAAGGATCTGGCTGGACTCAGACATGGTTTTTTTCTTTATGTATACCACTCCCACTACTTCCTTCATGCTGTCATCTCAACCCTCCAGCATAGGCAGTGATTGCTCTGTATAAACCACAATCTCAATCATCTTCTAGGAATCAGTGACTTTTGAAGATGTGGTTATTGACTTCACCCAGGAAGAGTGGGCCCTGATGGACACGTCCCAGAGAAATTTGTTCAGAGATGTGATGCTGGAAAATATCAAACATCTGGTCTCTATAGGTGAGTCTGTCAATATTCATGTATGTATATTTATAGTCTTCATTCAGTCAACAACAGTCTAGAACAGCTTTCCCATATTCTACTCCGATCTCTGCCCTGACTCTTCCATAGTCTTTAACAACCTGAAGGAAATTTGTTTGTTTAAATTATACTTACATCTACTTTCTCACTCCACTAGAAAGTAATAGTGAGCACCATTTTGTATGGTTCAGTTACTCAATCTCTAACATTCAAAGCAGAATTAGGAAAGCAATGTATTTGTTTTTGAATGCATAAATTGGGCATTTTCTTTTTGTTTATTTATTATTTATTTATTCATTTTTATTTTAAAGATGTGGGGTATACAGGTGCAGTGGCTCATGCCTATAATCCCAGCACATTGGGAGGCTGAGGTAAGAGGATTGCCTGAGCCCATGGGTTTGAGACCAGCCTGGGCACTTGGCAAGAGCTCATCTATACTATAAATCAAAAAACTAGCTGGGTGTGGTGGTGCATGCCTGTGGTTCCAGCTACTTGGAAGGCTGAGGTGGAAGGATCGCCTGAGCTCAGCAGGGCGAAGTTGCAGTGGTCATGAATATGCCACTGCACTCCAGTCTGGGCGACTAAGACTGACTCAGAAAAAAAGGATGTGGGGTACAATTCAGGGTTAGGTATACAAATGGTCATTGTACAGGTAAAGTTTGGGCCTCATTTTGGTCCCCATGCCATCTGATTTGAGATCAGGAACCTTTATTGATGAAGTGTGCCACCCTGGCAGTTTCTCATTATTGCCAATCCCTTTCTTGTATAGTATTAAGATAATAGTTTGGGGTCCACTTATGAGTGAGAACATGTGGTACTCAGTTCTTTGTTTCTGTGGTAGACCACTGAGTATTACAGACTTTAAATCCAGACAAGTTGCTGCAGAGTTGATAATTTTGTTCTTTATGGCTGCATAATATTTCATTGTGTGTATGTACCACATTTTTAAAAATCCAATCTACTTTTGATGGGCATATGTTTGGTTCCATGTTTTTGCTATTGTGAATAGTGCTGCAATAAACATGCATGCGCAGGTATCTTTTTTGTAGAATGACTTGACTTCCTTGGGGTATATTCCCAGAAGGGGGATTGCTGGGTCATATGGAAGGTCGATTCCTAGTTCTTTTAGGAATCACCACATTGTTTTCCACAGAGGATATACTAGTTTACACTCCCGCCAATAGAGTAGAAGTGTTCCCTTTTTCCCACATCTTCTCCAGCATCTATTGTTTTTTGAGTTATTGATGATGGCCATCCTGACTGAAGTTAGGTGGTATCTCAGTGTGGTTTTAATTTGCATTTCTTTGATGACTAGTGAGGCTGAGCATCTTTTTATGTATCCATTGGTTGCTTTTATGTTTTCTTTTGAGAGATGTCTATTCATATCTTTTGCCCACTTTTTAATAGGGCTGTTTGTTTTTTCTTTTCAGCATGTGAGTTCTTTGTAGATCTTAGATGTCAGGCCTTTGTCAGATATACAGTTGGCAAATATTTTTTCTAAATTGGACATTTTCTAAACAATTAATCTCTTGTCAATATGTGAGAGTTGAGATTGGAGTAGTAAAGATAAATTGATTATTGTTGGAGTTGATGTTTATTGGACAATATCTGAAAAGAAAACTCAGCCCATAATGGTGAAATTTAATGTATCCTTTTTTGAAAAGATTGAATTCTGCATTGTCTTTGAATTTGGGCTTGAGTGTTAGATTTCAGAGCTCCTTAATCTAGATGGCAAGGTCTAAATTTCTTCCTGGTCTTGTCAGGATCTTCAGTATTTTCTTAGTTCAATATATTGTTGCCTGGGCTGACAATGTCCTCCTTATTCTGTGTACCATTCTCTGGAACTTGATGACAACATACATTAACACAAACTCTAACTTTTCCCCCCAAAATCCAGGGTATGAGCTCTGCAAATCCGATATGATTTTTCAACTGGAGCAAGGAAAAGAGCTGTGGAGAGAAGGAGTACTTCTCCAAGGCCAGAGTCTAGGTAATCAGAAGGACCCTGTTTTTCAGTGAAAAGCAGTGCCTCATCAGTGACTTGAGTATGTCCTTGAAAACACCAAGTTAAGATTTTGTTAAGTGAGTGAGATCCAGTAAAATGAAAGACATTGGGTAAAATTTTTTATGTGTTGTCATTATCCCTTGATGTATATATCAGTCACAATCCATGTGTCTTTCTGATATTGTCTTTGGCTGCAAAAAAAGGATATTCATGTATTTATTGGTAGTAAACTTATACAGCTCCAATTTTCCACTTTGAAGATTTCCCTGCTCTTTACCAACTTAACATCTTAATTTGTTCTACTTTTTTGATATTTCAACCCTGAAAACCTATCAACACTATATTGTGACTCTACTATCTGGAGTATTTTATTATTTGACAAACTTGCTTCATCTAACTACCAACTTTTGAAGCATACTCCTATAGGCCATGGTGTTTTTCAGCAGTACCGTACTCCTAATGTCATTCTAACTTTTTTTTCCAATTATTTTAGGCAGAAAAAGTGCTCTTAAACAAGAAATGACATTCATGCATCAGATGAGCAGGAAACACACACCCGCTATCAGATCAACGGTAAGTTTCATGAGTGTAAACTCTGATCATCCAAATTAAAGACTTGGCAATGGAGTTATTGACTGAACACAATGTCCATGCTATGATTAAGTTGGAACCACACTCTTTCCAAGCAAAAACTTTGGATAGTTTCAATTTGTTAAAGAAATTAACATGAACTCAAAACTGAATCCTGAGATTTAAGAATATGAACGATTGCATAAGCATTTGCGCACATATTTAGTCTTCAAAATTAATCTGATAGCTAAAAAGAAAATATTTTTGCCTGCAGGCGAATAACACACCATGTGTATGCAAGGAACACTGGAAAGATTTTAAGTGGAGACTGGCACTAAGTGATTAGTCTAGGATTCGTATATAGAGAAATTAAGGTATAGATGTATATGGGAAATTATTAACAGCCTTTTATCTCTTTACCAGAAGCAGAAATCTCACACTCAAGAGGATGCCTTTGAACAGAATGTTTTGGTAGACTTCACTGACAGCTCTCAAACTCAACATTTGTTAACTCACATGGGAAAGAAACCCAATGTCAGAAAACAGCATGGAAAATCAATTGGTGACCAGACATCCCTTAACCAACATAAAAAAATTCACACTAGAAATAAATTAGGTGAATGTCATATATGTGGGAAAGCATTTTCTAATAGTTTTAGACTTAAACAGTGCAAGACGGTGCACGCTGGAGAGAAACCCTATGAATGTCATCAATGTGGGAAAGCCTTTAGTAAATGTTCTTACCTGAGAAAACATGAGAGGATTCACCGTGAACAGAAACTTTATGAATGTCATCAATGTGGGAAAGCCTTTAGTCAAAGCTCTGGCCTTAGCCAGCACAAGAAAATTCACTCTGGAGAGAAACCACATGCATGTCATCAATGTGGGAAAGCCTTCAGTCAATGTTCCTCCCTTAAGAAGCATGAAAGAACACACACTGGAGAAAAACCATATAAATGTTATCTATGTGAGAGAGCATTCAGTCAATCTTGTAACCTTAGAAGACATCAGAGAACACACACTGGAGCACAATCATATAAATGCCATCTATGTGAAAAAGTTTTCGGTCACCGTTCTTCTTAGACATGAGGGAATTCACACTAGATAGAAAATTATGGATGCTTTTGATACATGTTCTGATCTGGGATGTCATGGCATGATAAGTTTAATGAACGTGGAAGAGACTTCAGCCATACCTTTCAAAATTTAAACATTCCTGAGAATTCCCACAGTGAAGAAACACTATGGAATCAATGTGGGAGATTTTTTAGTCATCACTACTCCTCAGTCAACATACACATTTTCATAAGGAACAGAATATATATGTGTGGTATCTATGTGGCAAAGATTTAAATCAATGGCCACAGATGACATAACTCACAGTAAATATAATAAATATTGAAATATTCAGCACCAGCTCATAACTTTTTAAAATTTCTTATTTTAAAGATGTGAGGTACATTTCAGGGTTAGGTATACAAATGTTCATCATGCAGGTACCCTTGATGAGGTGTGGCCCCCCCCTTCCCTGGCAGTTTCCCACTACTTTAATCCCACCCCTTCAGCCCCCCAGCAGTTTCCCACTACTACCAATCCTTTTCTTACAGTATTATAATCGTTCAAGATCCGCTTATGAGTGAGAACATGTGATACTCGATTCTTTTTTTTCTGATAGATCACTCAGTATTCTAGTTGTGAAGTTCATAATTTTGTCCTTTATGGCTGTGTGATATTCCATTGTGTATATGTACTTTTAAAAAATCCAGTCCTCTTTTGATGGGCAGCACGGTTGGTTCCATGTTTTTGCTATTGTGAATGTTGCAATAAACATGCAAATGCAGTTATCTTTTTTACAGAGTAATTTGAGTTCCTCTGGGTATATTCCTAGGCAGGGGGATTGTGGGGTCATAGGGGAGGTCTATTTTTAGACCTTTTAGGAATTGTCCAACTGTTTTCCACAAAACACAAGCAGGAAGAACCCCTGAGTCTGTAGTCCATGTGAGATTGACGTCATTGATAATGATTAAGAAACATGGGACAACCTCAAGGCCAGTAATCACCACCATCAAACATTCACCCAAGCACTAGCACTGGTGTGCACAAGAAAACTCAGTGAAGGAATAGCCTACAAAACAGGAAGTAAGATGAAGCTCTTAAGGAATGTCAATTTATGTTGGAAGAGTTATTCAATGAAAAGTCATGATAAGTTCTTTATTCAAACAGCAATATTTGTGGCATATGTAGGGATTCACCCTGGAAATAGTACTTTCAGTGTCATGAATGAAGGGAAGTCTTCAGCGATTTTTCATTTCATCATCAACATGAAGTTTCTCCCACTGAGGAAATACTAACCCTAAAACCAAAGTAGAGGAAAATTCAACTAGATTTATATCACAAAATTAAATCTGAAAAAGAAAACTATACAAGAATCATTTAGTATACAATTCAGAAAATAATTCAAAATTTTTAGATAACTATCCCTGAACAAATATAATGTTGGAGAATATTGGAATATCTAGAATATTGGAATATTGAATGTAGAATTTTGTAAGAAATTACAATAACATTTTCAACAATTCAATACTGGCAGGTAGTTAAACAATACAATTTATTGCTAAAAAATTGAATGTGTTGGTCAAGTTATTTTTATTATGCAGTTTTAAGTTCACAGATTTGGGTTTGAACTCCTTGTGGGAAGAGTTGTGGGTAGTACAGATTCACTCCACTCTTTAAGACTCACTTTTCTGCAAAAGCTGTCTAAATTCCTGCCATTATTGTGTTTCTCCATTTCTGTGATGACAAAAACTTTCAGCCCCACCTGCCAGATTACTCACAATGCCATGTGCCTAGTCTAGTAGAGTCATTGGGTCACATTCAAAGACATATAGTCTCTATCTTTGGTATACATCAGCCCTTGGCTCTGCCCCTACGTGTTACCTGGGACCAGAGAGGCAGGCTTCTCTGCCCTCCTAGTCCATAGAATATTTCTTAAATTTGGTTTCTAAGTACTCTGCTGAGCTAGGTGGGGCAGAAGCCCATCCTACAACCACACCCCACATATTCTTATGTCATCCTGAATAAGGCACCCATTCCCTAGACAAGACCACCAGTACTCCCCTGACAACATCTCAGAAGATAAAATTCCAGCAAAATAAAATTCCCTCATCTATCGCCTACCACATAAGGCAGTTTTATCATTAATAAAATGTACTTTCCCCTAAGAAAAAACAATAGTTCTTATCAAGGGGTCTCAGTCTGCTTAGCCTGAGAGCTTGGAAATGCATTGTCCTTCAGTAAATCCCAGGACTGAACCTAAACCTCAAAGGGAAGTACTCTTTAGAGACCAACTGGGTTACTTGTTATTGCCAAACTGGCACAATCTCAAAATCATAGCTGAATTGAGGCCAAGTAAATGAATGCATTTAAACATATCTCCACAAGTTATTGCACTGTGCAGCCAGGATCAAGTCACGTGTGAAGATGATATACCAATTCAACGTCTTGGCAATACGATGGAGAAGTGGGGCCTGTGACCAGCAGAGATCCATGGGGGATGTGAAAGATAGTTAAAGGTAACACATTAGTTATTAGAAATCCAGACCCTAAAGAAAGACCCATGGCCTCTCTTTGCACAGCCCTTAAGACCTTGTTACTGAACACTTCTATGGTTCAGTTTTCTCAATCCTAAAGTGAAGATAAGCTTTGAGCCTTTGTCTAAGATTTATTATGAGTACTGAAGAGTTTGTACTGTCTACACCAAGTTGTTGTTCATGGTCATAGGCACTTCATCAATGTTCGCAAATCATGAAGATCTGTTATTCTGTAACTTGAGGTCTGAGTACACCACACTTCCTTATATTATTTTATACCAAAATATTAAGTCATTTTTCAATAGTTTACATCAGTATTAAATTTAGTTTGCTTGACGTAGTATGTAACTGCTTCCCAAACTGTATTTGAATTTAGCTGTCATTATGGGCCATAACTGAATATGAGACCGACCAATCTGGAGGCGAAGCCAGAAATCACCCCCCCCCCCCCGCCTTAATGTGTCTCCAGGAGAAAACAAGCAGGCTGTGGGCCTCTTGGAGGCAAGGCCTATCCTAGTGCTGAGGAGCCCATGGAACGTTGTGCATGTCCCAACTCTGAGGACCTCACATTCAGTGGGAATCTGTATATTGACCTGGGTGTCTAAGTATACGGGCAGTTGTGGTGAGAGCAAAGGATTTTAGGGCTAATCAAGGACAACTTTATGACCACCAGATGGCAGAATCCCACAGCCCGCTTTATCACAAATGGTGCTTTGATAGCTGGCTGGTCTATAAGGGGAAGTTCCTCACAGGATGACACCTTTCAGAAGCAGCAAGCTGGAGCCATCACCCAGAAAGCAAGGGTGGCAGGAGAACTTTCAGGGAGTTTAAAGAGTAGCCCTACTTGTCTAAATTATGTCTCTGCAGCAGATGGGCAGTCTCTGGGTCCAAAAACTATGATTGAAAAGCAACAGCTTGAAACCTTGCTTTCCATGGCTTCTGCATGTCTCTAGCTGGGTTGGGTGCAATTGTATAGGGTATAAACAGCAGATGGGCTCTAAATGGCTGAAAATCTACTCGTTTATAATGTAAATAAAGTACAAAAAATGTCTTTCCTATTTATAGATTTTCATGTTTATAGATTCAAAACAAAAACAGAATAGGCACAACAGTCAAAATGAAAAATGAGAGTGATAAAGTAATTGCAGATACACATGAACAATCCTCAGATGCTGCTCTCACATGACAAATGTCTAAAGACACAGGACTTGTATCATCATGAGGATAGAATGACGCCGGTTCACATCTTATTGTTTGGAGAAATCATGGGAAACCAAGAGTTGGAGGACACAGTGAAGCCAAATAGGTTCTGAGGCAGATTTCACAGGAAACCAGCAAGTATCTCTTCCCTCAATGTCCTGAACTGTAAAGTTCTTGGAGCAAATAAATCCTCTACTTGACTCCCTATCATATCGGAAAAGTTAATAAACCTAATCAGGGTTACATTCCAGGTATACACGCTGATTGCCCAGATACTGAACCTGCAAGAAAAAAAACTTTAACTCTCATAAAGTTGGAAAGCAAAGACGAAAAGTCATTTTTAAGGGAAATCAGAAAATTTCAGTTAATTATTCTGTCACAAAAATTCTTACATCTTATGTACCAGGAAACATTCTAGGTTTGGGGCATTCAGGAGAAAACCATACACATTAGAAAAATATATGAATATATATTTAATGCATAATTAGTTTCAGTTTTGCAAAACATAAGACTTCTGGAAATGAATAGTGGAGACTATTGCAAAGGAATATGAATGACTTTGTAACACTGAGTTGTACGCTTAAGATGGTTAAGATGCTAAATTTTATGTGTATTACCAAGATTAAAAATAATAAGCAGGGATGCTCTCCAACAAAATTCATTTTTAATTCTCTGTTTGAAAGTAGCAGTAATTCTCAATTTTTAAAAAGCTATTTATAAAGTACTTGATTGTGTAATGGTCAAATATGATGCCTTCCAGAAGCTCTGGGAAGGAATATTTGAACAGTTGCCTAGTATTTGAAGGACCCTGGAAGAGCAGATGGTAGAAAGGCTGTCAGGCATCGAGTGCAGAGACCCTGCTGATTCTTTAATGTTCGGTGTGTAGATCTACACTCCCGCCTTCTCTTAGAAAGCTCTGCCTACCAGTCAGCAGTCTGACTTCTGAAAGCTGCCGTTTGTCTGGCGGTGGGCAGCCCTAGGCCCAGGGTCCATCTATCCCTATCCTGTAAGACTACCCTACTGAAGTTCTTAAGGAATTTCCACATGGACCAATGAACTCCTCCAGGTTTTTTTGTTTTGCTCCTCTCTCAACCATTATTTTTTCTGGCAAAACAAATTTCAGGGCGCAAACCCAGGACTCTTATTCCAAACTATCCCCACTAAGTCTTATTTCAGTAACTTGTCATTCACTCAGGGGAATTTGTACTCTAATCTGTCATCTCTTTAGGACTAAATAATTTATGTTGTAATTATTAATATCATTATGACCATCAATATGATCACTATTGCATAGATGCATTATTGTATTTATTATTAGTTTCTTACTATGGTTTATTTTGGGAGTTTGTCATACAACATTGAATATATTTTCTATATTCACAAAGGGTGCCTAAGTCACTGAAGATGATTCTGGAGGGTTCCCTAACAGACAGACAGACACAAAGCTACTCCTGATACTCACTGTAATAATGGTGCTCCTGAAATATTCAAAGTATATTCTGTATAAAGACTTAGGGGTTCTTCCTGCTAGTGTTTTGTGGAACAGGTTGGCAATTCCTAAAAGATCTAAAATATATTCAAAATATATTTTAAAACTATTCTGATGTCAGGGATCAGTTCATTTTCGCAGAGGAGCCCCATGAAGTTGTTTTGACCTGTATGGACCTCTAGAAAAATGTTTAAGCTTTTAAGGTCACAACAAATGCTTTTGCCAGCCCGGAAAACCAAGAGAGGAGGTCCTTTGATTCCTATATGCGTGCGCACGCGCGCACACACACACACACACACACACACACAAACACACAGAGATCTGAGACAACTGGGTGCCCAAGTACCACTCATGCTTATCTCAGAAGTGTGGGGAGGTCCCCTCTGACCATTCAAGTTTCCTGCAAGTTGTCCTTGGTCCCTGCTGGGTCCCAGAAGCTGGAGCTTCTTGTCACCCACCAACAGCCCAGGATAGAGTGGTATGAAGGGACAGATCCAGACCTGATGGTGGCCTAGTGGAACAGACAGAATAAAAGACAGCAAAAACCTCAAGGGGATAGAGGCTGTGGCCTGACTTTCTGAGGCAAGCAGGACGTGGGAGGACTTTAGCCGAGGTGTGGTGCAACAACCCAGCTTTCCTTCTAGGGATTCCTTGCTCCCTCAACGAGATGTCCAAGCTCTAAAAGAGGGATGGGTGCAGGGAGAAAGGAAGGCACTAGATCCCGTCCTTCTTCCCCCATGTCTCACCTATCAACATTCTCCTAAAAGTCCTTCTTTTCATCTACTTTACTTCTATTGTTTCTTTTTCTCTCCATGTACTTGTCCTGTACCTTCAGGGACATAATCCAAGGTGCAGAACTATGACTCTGGCTCAAACTATGCCAAGAGTCCTGATCTGTGTAACAGACCATTCACTCAAGGAGATCAACAGCTGTTCGCCCATCTCCTGATGCACCTCCTTCCCCTCCCTGTCCCCCTCCATCTTCTCCTTCTTCTCATCATCATAAAGACCATTACCTCTAGGATTGCTGATCACTTTGATTGTAACTACTACCACAATTATTACTGTGGTTGTTTTTGGAAAACACTGATCTATCTTTCTACAACAATGAGCTATGTGTGATTTCTAAACAGAATGTCAGAGAGTTCCTCAAAACACAGGAACATATACTCCCCCTTCCCACCCCCAGGTCCCCAAGATAACTTTCAGTGCCTTATCCAGGAATGATCATCCACAACTTTTCCAAGTTTTCCCTGGAGGCCTGGAAGAACTGCTCTTACAGGGAATGCTCTGGGAGGCAGCTTGACCAGTCTGAGCCTATGGAAAATGCTTCAAATCATCTGTATGGCCAGCAAGTACTTTCCCTGCTTAAAAAATTTAAAAAGGCTAATAGCGGACCACCAGACTCACTGCAAATTTTCCTAAAATCCTTCAGTGACACAGAAGCCAATGGAAAAAACTTTGTACACTGGAAGGAAGATCCCCAAACTCTGGAGCCTTCCCAGTATACTGTAAGTGTGCCCCTAGAAATAGGAAAGAAACGACTCCTATCACCCCAAGTTATCTCTTACCACCAAGGAGGGCAGGGAAACCAATCCATTATACTCCCAGCAGCCCCAGAATCGAAGCACAATCCTGCTAAGTTCAGACAGAAGTGTAGTGGGATAGAACATAAACTAAAGCAAAGCAAGGTAGTCAGTATTGAGAAAGTGCTGTAGCACAATGTTCAACATAAGTGGGGGGGCCTGAGAAGCCCAGAGGCAAGGTGTGGTCTCCGAACTCTGCATATAGACTACTTCCAGAAAGACTTGCCTCCTTGAAGGACACATACACACACACACACACACTTAAATAAACCAATATGATAGTTGTATCCAAATGAAAAACTGCTTTCCAGATGTAGTTCTATGCCTATCATTTTTTGCTAAATTATACTTGCATTTAAAAATAACTAACCCATATAAATAGATGTCTACACAGCTACTTACAGCTTTTTTAGATAAAAAGGATAAAGATAACATATATTCTGTGAGATAAGCATGAATTAGGAAATCAAAATCACTGCCTATTCCAGAACATGCTCCTCACAACAAGATTTACAATTTATATATAACATGGCATTTTGAAAACTGTTCAGTTAAATAAAAGGCAGTCGAGTAGTTTTCTACATTATATTTGACAGTCTTCATATACCATTCTGACTGCTTGACAGAAACAAGGAGTTGGATGAGAGTTCCTGCAGCTGAATCTTACATGCATCTTCCCCTAACTGCTTGTAATGTGTGCTGTTAAGCATGATATTAAGATTGGTTAATATGCTTTCTATGACTCACAGGAAACTATGAGTCTTAAAAAATTCACTATGGCTGTCAATCTTTCGTATCTTAGATAAAACACTAATAATTAAATAAATAACTTTTGAAAAGATGGCCTACAAAATTGATATTTTCATCTTCTAAAAATATTGGAATAAGCTTATGTATGTTTCAAATGAATAAAAAAGAGGAAAAAAACCGATACTGCAATTCCTAGCAAAAATTTGGCAAAATAACATATGCACAGATGACTGCAACTCAAAATATACATATTTTGGAGATACGTATAAATAGGAAGACAGATGTTCAAAGAAAAATGGATAAATCTCTAAGCTTGATAAATCTCTAAACCTGACTTTCTGAGGCAAGCAGGACTTGGGAGGACTTCAGCCAAGGTGTGGCTCAACAATCCAGTTTTCCTCCTAGGGATTCCCTACTCTCGCAACTAGATGTCCAAACGCTAAAAGAGGAATGGGTGCAAGGAGAAAGGAAGGCTCCCTCCCCTCCCGTGTCCCTGCTATGACTCATTACACCTCGAGGCCATAAAATGAGTAGGCATATTTAGAAGATTTAACCTCTCTAACCATGTAAATACAAACTGACCTTTTAATGAAACTGTAAAGACTTTGTATTCCACTTAACACAATGGCATCCATAAAATATGATTAGCCGGCCACAAAGAACATTTAAGGTAACTGGAAAACAATACATATATATCAAATAGGCGTTAAGGGCTTACTAAAATCAAAATGAGAATAAACAATAATCAGGTAGATCATGCAAAATTAACAACCCAAAGACAACGAAAGTTTATACTCACAGAGTAACAGTCAATTCAAATGAACATTATCAACCCGGTACTGAACCACGAAGTACCTACCAGTCAATACCATGAATAGGGTCACAGTTGTTATCCTGAAGAAGTAACTTTTAAAGCACTTATTTGAAAACCGGAGGGCTGGGAAATGCGAGAAGCGACTGTCACGGAATACATTTTGTCCCCCTGAAGTTCATGTGCTGGATGCTCAAACCCCAGCATTTCACAATGTGAACGCCTTTGGAGATACACAGGCCATAGGAGGAGGTGATTACACGAAAATTACGCAGTCAGTGCGCCCCGCCCCCCTCGGATCGGGGAGGCCGAGAGCTGCGGCTCCGCGTCCGCCACGCGCCTCTCCCCCTCACGCCCCGGACCCCGCCACGTCCTCGGCCACGGGGAAGCGGGCAGGCGAGGACGTTGTCGAAGGGGCCTCGGGGCCG